GTGTGTGTGTGTGTGTGTGTGTGTGTGTGTGTGTGTGTGTGTGTGTGTGTGTGCAGCTGCGGTGTTGTGAGTCCACGCTGACACAGTTTGACGTAAACCGCGTCCGTCTCACTCCTCAGGCTTCCTCCGGTCGGCCGGTGTTTTTCTCCACTTCCTGTCGCCACCCGTCTCTACACCTGAGGAGGCCCGGGTCAGAGCTCAGCACCTGCAGGCAGCACATCCAAATGAGCCGGCCGTCCCAGCCGAAACCCACTTCAGCTGACCACAACGGCGTGAGCGTTATCCAGAGCCAGGCCCACGCCGCCCCCTCCTCCTCCTCGTCCCTGCCGGCGGCGCTCGCCGGACTGCAGCAGGTCCCCCAGCTCGTCCCAGCCCACCCTTCCTCCACCGGAGGCAAAGCTCTCCCCCCGAGCAAGATGAAGAAGCCGTCGGTGGACAAGGACAGCGACGAGTACCGGCAGCGGCGCGAGCGCAACAACCTGGCGGTGAAGAAGAGCCGCATGCGCAGCAAGCAGAAGGCCATGGACACGCAGCAGCGCGTCAACGAGCTGAAGGAGGAGAACGAGCGGCTGGAGGCCAAGATCAAGCTGCTCAGCAAGGAGCTGAGCGTGCTCAAAGACCTCTTCCTGGAGCACGCGCATAATCTGGCCGACAACGTGCAGCCGCCCGCCGGCCCCGAGGGCACCAGCCCCGCCTCCAACAACAACCCCGCCAGTGCACAGTGAGGGGGCGGGGTCACAGGGATGTTATTTATCTGCAGGTAACCTGGAAACAAGCCTCACTACTTCGCCCCTTTTCTTTCCCTTTTGACCTTGTTCAACCCCGCCCACTCACTGTCAGGATGCCTGGAGGCTCCGCCCACTCACTGTTTGGATGGTTTTTCACTTTTTTTTCCTGACTTAAAACATATTTGCTGTAAGAAAACAGTAACTTTGTGCTGATTGAACTGAGCTGGAGGAACCGAGCTTCTGATTGGTCGGTTTGGAGGAAAGCGTCGGACTTAGACGCCGACTCGTGGTTCCACTTCCTGTCTGCTCCACTGGACGCTCTTCATCTTTCTGTTGTTTTTTTGTTTGTTTTTTTTAGACTAAAGTTTTTTCACTACATCTTGATGTTTAAAGGACAAACCTATGAGCGGCACCAGAACCGGGTCAGACTCTGTTCTGTGGACACGTTAAAACGACCCGGGTTCTCAGAGGGCAGAATTCTTTTTTTGAGGTCGTGTTGCACATTTTAACGTTTGTGTCGGACGTTTTGTGCTGAGGTGGAACCTACAACTGGACCGCAGCACGTGAACCTGTACATCAGAACTGTAGGGAGAACCAGTCTGGGTCAGAACTCCGGGACACGTTTAATGGGACTGCGAGGCCTGAAAAGAACCGTTGGATTGTTTGGTACAGAACCAGTCCGGTACGAACCAGAAGTCTTGTTCTGGGACCTGAATGATTAGTTCTGATGTTTGTAAACAGGAAGTTCTGATATGACAGAACAGTCGGTGTTGAAACGCTGCACACAAACACACCTGTCTGGACCCCGCCCCCATCCGGGGGCGGGGTCCAGACAGGTGTGTTTGTGTGCCAAGTGCCGGGCGGACGCAGACGCCTCAGCCTCCTCAGGTGAACCGCAGCTTTAGGTAAATCCAGGTTGAAGCCGGGCCGGGTTCCGCCGAGGCCTGAGCAGATCCAGACAAGTCCCCCGCCCCGTCGCAGAGAAGTGGGCGGGGCTCAGACTCCATAATTACCTGAGCTTTGTGCAGGCATGTCTGGAGTCCTCGTCGCTTTTTTTGGACCCGGCTCGGCTCTGAGCGGGGATTAGAGAAAAAAAAAAGTTTTTAAAATAAATTCTTTTGGTAATTTTAGTTTAAATGCAGAGTCAGAAGCTGAGAGCTGTGCAGAAATATCAAAGTCATCACAAACATAAACACTAAAAGCTCAGAGGCATCAGCTGCTAATTAGGACATTTTGAATCAACAACCTAATTAATTATATGTCATTGAAAGTTTTATTTTTTGTCAAAAAGCAGCGACTGATTTATGACTGTTTGATTTATGACTACGGTACGACAGAGTATTAGGGCCAGACAAGATTTTTGTTAAATCACGAGAATAAAGTCATAATATTACAACATTATAGTCGTATAAAAAGAAAGTCATAATATTACGAGTTTAAAGTCGTAATATTACGACATTAAATTAGTATAAAAATAAAGTCGTACCATTAAGATAATAAAGTCGTACTATTACGACATTAAAGTCGTATAAATATAAAGTCGTAATATTTCGAGTTTAAAGTCATATTATGAGATTAGTCATAAAAATAGTCAATATTATGAGAATAAAGTTGTAATATTACAAGATTAAAGTCATAATATTACAAGAATAGTCACTATTACAACATTAAAGTCGTATAAAAACAAAGTCGTAATATTACGAGTTTAAAGTCGTAATATGAGATTAAAGTAAAAAAATTAAGTCAATATGAGAATACAGTTGAAATATGAGATTAAAGTCATATAAAAATAGTCATATTGTGAGAATAAAGTCGTACTATTACGAGACTAAAGTCATATAAATAGTCATAATATGAGAATAAAGTTGAAGTATTACGAGATTAAAGTAATATTACGAGTTTAAACTCGTAATATGAGATTAAAGTCATACTATTACTAGATTAAAGTCATATAAAAATAGTCATAATTTATGAGAATAAAGTCATAATATTACGAGTTTAAAGTCGTAATATTATGACATTAAATTAGTATAAAAATAAAGTCGTAATATTAAGAGAATAAAGTCGTAATATTGCGACATTAAAGTCGTATAAAAATAAAGTCGTAATATTACGAGTTTAAAGTCATAATACAAGTTCTCATAAAATTCTCATAAAATTACGTCTTTAATTTTGTAATAATAATAATAAAAAAATTCATAAAATTACACTTTGATCTTGTAATAATAATAAAGAAAAATCTCGTGTGTGGCCCTGATACTCTGTCGTACTACGGTAACTCTTCTAGGACAAATTAAAAGCGAGAAGCGGTGAAGATTAAAGCGTGGACTGAAAACATTGAGTTTCTCCGCTCAGCTTCAGCTTCAGGCTCCTGCTGAGGCTCTGAGTCGTGTGCAGAGCACAGCCTGCGTCTTTTTCACTTTTCTATCACTGTTTTTTCTACTCTTGTATTCCAGCAGCAGCATGTTGTAAAAGGAGGCGTTTGCATGAAAAGCACTTGCGGGGACGGAGCTGTGTGTCAGAAAAGCTCCTGTGGTGGTTTTATTTTTATTTTTATTTTTTTGTCTGTTTGTGTTGGTCTGAATGTTGCTGAGCAGCATTTTCTGTCACTCAGCTTTTTATATCGGAACTGTGGGAGAGGAGCTGTAATGTTTGTTGTAAATTAAATTCAAGTCTAAAAGTTGGGCTGTGTTTTCTTTCCTCGTCTGAATGAACTCGTTTTCTCTGTTTTCTGAACCTCAGCTCTGACTGCCACAGGCGTAGAAATGAAGTACATTTTACTTTGTTAAAGTACTTCGGTCATTTTTTTAAATTATCCTGAATTTTATCAATTTTTTTATTGTAACTTTTATTTTGTTACATTCAAAACAAAAATTAAAACCTTTACTTTAAAACTGAACCTGTTGTTACAGGTTAAATATAATCAAACTGAACTGAGTATATTAACTCAACCCAGGTTACTGGTACCAGTTTGCTTCAGTAAATTCAACACTTTATTTCTTACAGTGTGTAAAATACTTTTACTTTCCTGATTTTTGTGAGCAGTTTTATGCATGGGTGTAATTTGCAGGGGGGTGTAGGGGGGTTATGACCCCCACAATATTTTTGATCCAGTCAGTATAAGTCTATAAATTATGTGTTGTAATTTCTCCATATCGTAAATACTTTTAAGAAATTTAGGGGTAACACTTTACAATAAGGTACACAAAAAAGCGTAACTACTGAGGAAGTACGCAGGGACTATTGAGTAGTTACTGAGTAGTTCCTCAGCAGTTAAGCTTTTTTTTGTACCTTATTGTAAAGTGTTACCACTTTAGGTCTGTCGTATCCTAAAAATGTAAAATATGTAACTTTTGGGAAAAATAGTGGGGAAAAAAGCCCAATCATACTGTACAACCCCAACATTTCTTTAATTGTTTTACTAAAACGATTCAATAAATAAATAGGCAGACAGCATACCCCCCCCCCCATCATGATACACCTAAAGTTCACTGTTACTATAGTACTTTTACTTTTTATCAGTCTAATTCATTTTTACCAAAGTTATTTTCTGTTAAGGTATTTTTATTTGTTTTTTAAGTACTTTGAGTACTACAAGCTCCATCAGAAGAAACATTTATAGTATGAACCACAGCTTAGAAAAATCAAAGCTTTATAACTTCAACATTAATAAATCGAATCTGATGTGAATTAATTTTTTGTTGCTCCCCTAAAATTTGACTAATTAGTTATTTAGTGCTTTTATCGGTTTGTTTTTGCTCATTTAAGCTTTTTTATTTTAGCTTTTTTCTGCAATTAAAGCTACTTTTAAGCCATTTTCAGTTAATTTTAGCTTTTACCTGCTTTTTCACCTATTTTCTGCTCTTTTCAGATATTTGAGTAATTCAGTTTTTTGTGCTATCAATTGGTTTTTGCTTATTTACGCGTTTTATTCTTTTAGCTGTTTTCTGTAATTTAAGCTACTTTAGCTATTTTCAGCTAATTTTAACTTTTTTCAGATAAATTCACCCTTGTGATAAGTCTAGCTACTTACTGCTTAATTGAGCTCTTTCTGCTTCTTTGGCCTAGATTCAGCTTTTTCTGCAACTTTTCTGCTCAACTGACCGCCTGGTTCGCCTGTGAGCTGGTTCTGAGTGTGTACTTAATGTAATTTGAAAGAATTGATAAAATATATAATTTTTATTAGCAATTTAGTCACAAAAATGTTTCATAAGTTGACATAAGTTGTCTAGTGTGACAGGGCCTTTAGACTTTAATGTAGCCAATTTTAGCCTTTTTTTCTGCCTTTTCAGCTAGTCAAAAAGAAAAAAATAGTATAGGTCCTCTGGACGGGTTCTTCTCTAATGAAACGTTTCGTCTCTCCTCCAAGAGACTTCTTCAGTTTGAGAGTTTCAGGCAAAACTGAAACCAGGCCTGAAACTCTCAAACTGAAGAAGTCTCTTGGAGGAGAGACGAAACGTTTCATTAGAGAAGAACCCGTCCAGAAGACCTATACAATTTTTTCTTTTTGATTTTTTACCTGGATTACTGAGATGCATCAGGACTTTTGCCATCTCAAAGATTCAACCCCTCCGGGGTTTGTTTACATCGCAAAATCCCACGAATCCGGCCGCGGAGGAGGTCTCGCGATATTTCACCACAAGACCTGGAAGGTTACTCAGTTCACAAACCTCCCTCAACCTCTTTCGAGCAGACTGTCTGCTTACTATCCAGCCCTACCCCCACCATTGTTGCTACTATTTATTGCTCACCCAAACGTAACACCTCTTTCATAAATGATTTTGGAGCTTTTCTCGCCTACCTCTCAGCCCTTTCACCCAACATTGTTCAGCTGAGAGACTACAACATTCATATGGTTGAAGACAACAACCCACTCACCAGAGACTTTCCATCCTGCCTGGACAGCTGTGGCTTCCGGGGGGGGGGCTCGGGTCCTCTGGTCCTGTTGGGCCGTGGCCCGGTGGAGGGGGGTCCTTGGGGCCCGGTCCTCTGTGCCCTTGCCTGGATCTTCCTTGGTGCGGTGGACTCTGGCGGGGGCCTCTGGGTTTGTCGCTGCTGCCCCGGGGGGGTTCTGCATGTGGCTGCCCGTGGGGCTCTTCTGTTTCCCGCCTGTGGTCCAATCTGGGGGGTGGG